TGTCTCTGGCTGCAGACTTTAAAAAGTCTCCACAATTGCCTCTTTACTCCTGCCAATAATGTCGATATCATCGGCATACACTAGCAATTGTATACACCTCTGAAATATATTAAAAAACTTGCATGCAAGGGCATCACCTTATCTCAACCAACTTTCATTGTAGAAACCCTGATATTGATACCGGTTACGTTATGAAATATAATTTTAAGTATGTAAAAATAGTATTAGACAAATGTATATTTGCCATGCATTACAATTTGATTGTGTGCAATGTGTTAATGAGGATTTGCATGGCATATGTGAATTCCTCTTTTGTTCTGCTGGATATAATATAATTTGGGTAAAAATGAAACTAATAGATCATTGAAATGTTCAAAACAATTCCGTTCATTAACGCATGATTATCTTATATCCTGCCCTAGCTAAGGTAACAAATGCTGTTAGAGTTATGCTGGAATATGTGTACCACATATTGAAGGTGCACTTTTTATCAGATGCATCTGAAATTAACTAGTAAACTACCGTATCCTTTCTGCCATGGCAAACAGCTTGACGTAAACTGATACTGTGACAAATTTGAGCTGTCGTTAACGAGCAATTAAGACAAAATATTTTGACAACCACGACACACTGCTGAAAGACAATGCGCTTCCGTAGGCCTCCAGAACTCTGAAGCAGATATGAATTTTATAACAATAATAGGTATTCAAAACCATATCTGTTATGGCAACTGAAATAAGTTTTAACCATGACTTAAATTAGTATCAAATTTATATGAAATTTCAATACAGCCCTTTACTGATCATATGAGTTTTGGGCATACAAAAGCTAACTGCTCTCTGTGAGACTGCTGTTTAATATCTTGTAAAAAAGAAGATACTAATAAAATTTGTAGACATGGCCATAAAGTAAACATTTATTTTTTATTATTGAAATGTTGACAAACATAGATTTATAAATGGAACAATCTCAGAGATGTTTCCCGACTAGTTAAATGATTAAATACACACCAATAATTGCCTTCTATTTTGAAAGGAGAGTCTTCTATTTTTAAAAACATCATATGCATTTGTTCATCTAAAAGTATGTAAGAGGGAAAAAATGCTAGGTCGTTGCCCATAAGTAAATAAAAAATGTAAAAAATAGTAATATTGGACAATGATTTGAACTTTATTAAGATTTCAAGTGATGTTTTGTTTGAACTGTGAATGTTCAAAAGCCAGATGATGATAAATTCTCAAAGCAAAAATACAATATCTAGTATATAATATGTAGATAAGGAGTGATAATTCATATATATGAATGCATTCAATAAATTCAGATATGTTTATTACTAACGGTTATTCTTAATTGTTTTCTGTCAAGTGTTTCCTCACATTATTACAGTGGCTTATACAAGATTATATATATTCTCTTTATCAATACAAACTAACATAACAAAGCTAATTTAATTAGCTCTATTTAGTTTATAAAGTAACTTACATATTTTGGCCAGAATTAAACGAATCGCTAAAATTACTGTAGGAACAGCATAGATTCCAACTCTCTTGATTTTACAGGGAGACTCCCGGTTTTTATATTTTAGCCTTTAAAGAAAAAAGTGCTTTTGAGCAATAAATGTAATTTATTGAATTAATGAAACTTTTTGGAAAATTCCATTCCTCCAATTCTAATGATTTTCAGAGTAATTTTTATTATTAAATTCTGTCTGAATTGTAATTTTTATTATATTTTGTTGTTCTTACTGAATTTTTCTTACTAAATTTCATTTAATCTTAGTTGTCTTATTCTAATCTAGACATTTCTGGATTTTTATATGAAGATTCAAGGAATGTCGATTACAAAGTTTATCCACAAAAATACAATGTACATTAATTATTAATTTTATTTTCATGGTATTTAAAAGTACTTTGATAAATAAAAGCTTTCTTTCACTACTTGGGGTTCCCCTCCCAAAAAAAGAGTTCCTTTGAAATGGTGTCGCTATGCAGCATTTTCATGTGAAAAAACTTCTAGTTTTTAAGATCTGGCAGCTATGGAATAGGTATTAAACAAAGATAATACAGATGTTATACAATGGGAAAAAATAATCAGAAGACCAATATATTCTATGGCAGGTGCCATAAAATATAAAAGGATCTATCTGAATTAAAGCTCATTAAATAAAAGCATCAATTTGACAATTTTAAATAATTAACAATTACCTCTCTAATGCCAATTTAATTGTGATAAATGTTTGCTTTTATGTAAATATATGCACAATTAAAAGCAATAATGTCACAAATTTTATTGGATAATGAATAAATGTTTTTCATAAAGCAGTGAAATTAATAGATAAAGTAGTACACAGAAAACTGTTGATTTAACAAAAACATTGTTAAAGATATTAGTCACTAAATTGGCTGTAAACAGGGATTCAGAGTTATATCTTGTATATTACTACATTTATCAGTGTAATGTTTTTTGTCTTTCCAAAATTTCAAAAAGTGATTAAAGTTTGCTATAGTTTACTTTTGACAATCAAAATTCATATTTAATAGCTTTTCCTGGATTATGTGTATGGATTTAGAAAATAGTAGAAACCTTAAGCATGCATAAATGTACATTTTCAAAATGTTACAAATAGTGGTAAATATTACTCCAGATAATGCTGTAGAAATCATAGAATCATTTGTTTATAAAATAAGTAGACATTTTTTTTTTTCCAAAGCTATTATTGGATCTATATTGTCATTTAGATTGAAAATGAATAACTTTCTATTAATCAGAACAACCGTATAAATTTTATTGCAACTTAATTTTTGCCGCGATTTTTATGTGGATGCACTTTGGAAAATGAACTTTTGTGCATTACATGAGTACAGTTAAACCTGTTTTTGTGTGGCAGATAGGTAAGGGCCATTACAGAGCTAGTGTAGCAGAATTTTTAGAATTTAGTGACACACCAAGCAACAAAATCTAGAAATGGCAAAACTTTTAGTATTTAGGAGCAGGCATTGGAAGCAAAATTTAGAAAGACACTAAACAGCAGAATTTAGGATCCACAGAAACTGCATCAGATGGGAAAATGCCTAGCTCTAGCTCTGTGTATGATGTATTAAAGCATATTAGATGAATCTTTTAAATTGTAAATTTTCAATTTCTTTATTAATAAAAAATTCCTTTATTCCTTTTATTTTTTAAAATTAGAAGCATTTTTTATATTTTCCATGTCTAGTAAAAAGTAGAGAAAATAAAGGGAAGATAAACATGTTAAAAAAGATTCTAGTATCAGAAGTAAAAAATTCAAATACGTTCTCCAAAAAGTAAGAAATTCATCACAAGCTTTCTGGAAATACATCCATTATGTGTTAAAACCATGGAGACATTTTTCATTTTGTCACATATTTCTGGAATTTTCTAGAATCATCGGTCTATACATCTATAACCTTCAAATCCTTCTAAATTTTACAAGCTGCAATGTCTAAAGTCCTAAAGAAAAATTATTCCCTACTAATTCTGTAACAGTAAAAAGATAGAAATATTCTGGGAGGGGGGGATTCTGAAAGTTTCAGATTTTAAATTATATCCAAAGGGGCTTTTTATTTTTAACGTTTCGAGTATTACCTTTATTTATTAAACATCATATTCTACGTACTCAAACTATAAAATTCAGTTCAACAGCAATATCACAAATTAATTTTAAAATTAGCATATCTTTAGAATTTCCAATACAGAGCTTAGCACGCTGGAGACAAAAATGACTTTTTTCATACAGTGTTGCCGTTGCTCGCTCTGAAATCATTTAATTTTTAATAAAAAATTCGTTGAAGTGTTACAAAATAAGAAATCGATAATAAAACAAATTTCAAATTCAAATTAGGGCTTCCACATGCTCATATTTTATGGAAGATTACGTTATTCAAATTTTGATGGCTCTAGGTACCGTTGTTTTATTACATTGTGAGAAACATACATACATTCATGCACATTCTTCATTATTTAATTTCTTTAATACAGGGTGACAATATTTGATGGCAACAATTTGGAAAGTGATTCGCTGTTTATAGTTTTCAATGCAAAATGCCAAAACAAAATTAATAGTCCTTCAGGGCAAATTGCCTCTTTGGTCTAATTACACACGGAAACATTATAAAAAATTTAATTTCGCATTTTGCAAATGGAGAAATTTTGAAAAAGCATATAATTCACTACTACTCATTCATAGTCCAAAACACACATTTTCTTGTGATAACTGGTTCATAAATTGCTTTTATTACTTGAAGATATTACAACTGATTTATTTTATGTTACCTTAAAGCTGATGATAAGTTTTTGTGATGATGATCATTTGATCAGCTGCTTGTAAACGTCACGAAAGCCAGATATACATGATCATTTTTTGGAATTTTAAACTCCTTTCGGAATTGTTACATAGCTGGATCTCTGAATATCTTCTGTCACAGAAACCGGTTCTTTTTGACTGTCTTCATAATCTGTGAAGTTATTGATAATGTCACTATCACTAACTGTTTCGTTCTTAATCGTTTCGACAAGATCATTTTCGTTGAAGGTGTCAAAGCATTTTTCGCTGATGCTATGTGCTAGCACACTGATTTCTGATGATAACGTGGGCATATTTTTGGTTACATTCCTATTAATGACACCGGGTAATTCAACCTTCTGATTTTTCACTCAATTCCTCAGTTTCCCTCTTCCCAATAAATTTAACAACATAGTACTCATGAAATATACCAACAAAACTTACACTTGAGAGAAAAACATCCAAACTGGGTTTTTATTAATACTGCTAGATTCTGAATTTCTTATGTAATGGGATGCTTTACCAAATAAAAAGAAACTTTAAAAGATATATATTATTAAACACTTCAGATATAATATCAATATAAATGAATCAATTAGAACCTTCAGAAACAGTGAGGAATATGCAAATATAATTATAATAAATTAAAAAATACTTAAAAATGATTTTTTTAATATATCAATAATATAAACATCACCTACGGAGGTGTGAGCCATGATACCAGAACCTACACTAGGATTTGGAAGATGCTGATTGCTTGAAAATGACAAACTTGGAGGATACAGAGGCTGGCTACAATGAGGGCAACGCGTTATAATAGGATTTGGTGGACTAAAAGCTTCTCTTCCTCCTGCAAGAAAATCAAAATCAGCAATAGGTGCAAATACATTACTAAGAGGAACAGAAACCAGACTTCACATTTAAAATAAAGCATTTCTTCCTAATTACTTTTGATGTTACACTATTTACTCATATTTTCTAAATACCTAATAATTTAAATATAATAAATGGCTAAAATAATTATTTCTTCAATAATGAGATATTTTATTTAGCGCCAAACTGAGATTAAGAATCGGGATTTCCGAGATGTTTTTTTATGATGAGGAAAAAATCTAATGCGCGTGCTTAAAGCATACCACTTCCCTTCAAAAAAGCTCTAAAAAATTGGTTGGTGGTGGCTTTGATGTCCGGATTTTAGATCATTCCAGATATTGGATGTCCGGATCTCGGACTTTGTACTGTAGATATATATATGTGTAATATCTATATCTATATATATATATATATACATCTTTCAAAATATAACTTACCAGTAATTTAAAATACATTTTAATTAGTAATAAATAATTTGAAAATGCTTTAAATAATCAAAATTAGGATACTGTATTTCTGTTTAATCACATTGACTTCTTTGAAGTTTTCTTTTATTGTGAAACAGATTATTTCTTTTCATTTTGGCACATTTCTGCATACAGCATTCTGCAGCTGCAGTTTTTTTAACATCACAAGCTTCGCACAAACACCTTTAATAGATCTGAACAGATTCATGTGTTTTGAGAAAATAAAGCATGTTGCTTTGTAACAACTTCTCTATTGAACAGAATACTTGCAAATAAAGTTATTCAATTAAAAGAAATGAATAAAAAAATTAGCATTCTAAAACTGAATATATATATTTGAAAATACACCACACTTGAAAATATAGGCAATAAAAATGTAAACTACTTATAGCTAGTGTTCCAGCCTGAATAGAAACTTTTGTCTGCCTCGGAATGGCAACAGTCTGAACTTGATTTTCAATTTGTTTCAATGATGCTTGATGAGATGTTAGATTCTATATTAATTTGTTTGGTATTTTAATAAATTCTCTTTTAAACTAGAATGAATGTTGATTTAGACATAAATACCTCTGAATCGCACATATAGAAATTTGGATATGGCATTTAGACTCAAAGCAGAATTCGGTTAGATATGCAACCATTTGTCTATTAGTCTAGCATATATTTTGGCGCATCAGCTCTCGGAATCCAGCAATATTCGAAACTAGCATATAGTAAGTGTGTGAAGACTGCTAAGGTAGGATTAAGTTTTCTATTTTTAAAGTTCGATAATTACGGAAGATCCTATTGCTAAATTTAAATTGAAATGGAAAGTATTAAGGGCCACAGCATTCAAGATATTAAAAAAAAACTGAGACAGAATTAAACAAAGATGATATTAGTATACATGTACTAGAAGAAATTTTAGACCAATTAATCGAAAAATAAAAAACTCTGAGTCATTTAGCAGGGTTCGTACACATTTCCTTACATGAAAATTAAGGACTTTTAAGGACCATCAAAGAAAAAATTAAGGACCTATCAGCGAACAAAAAAATGAATAGAATAAAGCAATTATCCATACAACCGACTTCATGCTTGTAATTTCACTTTAAGAAACTAACAGAAGTGTGTATTATGCACTATTATCAAATTCAATTTAATACTTACCATCTAACTCCCTACAAGTTATGAAGTAGATAACATTAAATTAGGAACATAATTTCTTGAAAAACATGTATTTTACACTAATAACAATCACTATTTTAGAGATTTACATGATTATTATTAACTTATTTGATATTTATTCAAACACAGTCAACTACTATTATAATTACAATGTAAGAATATTTTGCAGATTAAAATAATTGATTTGTAAACATACAATTTATTTCCTTGGTTTTTTGAAAGATACTAGAATAATAAACTGTACAATAAAAGATACAAAAAAATTGGGCTTTTTTTAAATCTGAAATCTTTTCAGCTATTTTAACATCTAATTTATTTATGTCTATTTCCTTTTCTTTAACTATTCTTCTAAGTTCATTTGCTTTGATAAACAAATCAATGTTCATGCTGGTCTCAGCATCATCTGCTAAAGCATCTACTTCTTCATTAATATCTTTAATGTTCCTTTGAAGAAATTTTTTCTTCTGCTTCATATAATCAATTTCTTCCTCAATGATATTTCTTTTCCTCTTTGAATTTTCAGATTTAGTTAAAGATTTTTGTTCTTCTAAATACTGCATATATTTAGGACCTTGCAGAAGCTGCTGCTGATCTCATTTCTTTATTAATTTCGATATTAAGAACAACTCCAGAAAATTTATGTAATCAAATACTGTGCGTTGAAAAATGTATGATGAGTCACTTAAATTTTCAATTCAATGCTTTATTTACAGAGAAGCCCCTTTCCACAGAGGCCTGTTCATGTGACAAGATAAGAATACTTGTCACAGTGAATACTTGAATAGTGAAAATATACATTTTTTACTATATATATATAATAATTTATTTCCTAAACAATATTGATTAATTGATTATATTATCTCCTAAGTTTAATTAAAGTAGAATTATTTTAAAAGAGTGAATCCATACTGGTAAGCTATATTTTGAAAGATGTGTATATATATATATATCTACAGTACAAAGTCCGAGATCCGGACATCCAATATCTGGAATGATCTAAAATCCGGACATCAAAGCCACTACCAACCAATTTTTTAGAGCTTTTTTGAAGGGAAGTGGTATGCTTTAAGCACACGCATTAGATTTTTTTCCTCATCATAAAAAAACATCTCGGAAATCCCGATTCTTAATCTCAGTTTGGCGCTAAATAAAATATCTCATTATTGAAGAAATAATTATTTTAGCCAAATTTGTGTGATTAGTAACTTGACTCCATAGCTGCGTATCTGCTTGGCATAATCTCAAACCGAAACATTTGTTATTTTTACACCAATATTTTATATCCTTGATGCCAAAATCGCGAATCATTATTTATTGTATTTTGTTTTCATCACCGCATGTTTATCAACGGATGACAACTTGAATGATGAATCATGCAGCGACGCCAAATAACAGAGTATTATCCGATTACAGATTCAAGTTTAATGTGCTAAAATGTTGACAAGGGGAGATTCAGCAGAAATTTCTTTCCTTATGCTAAAAATAGATTTTGTTAATGATACTCATAGGATAAATGATTATATTTAGTGCTATTTGAATTAAGAATGATAAAAAATTAATTTATGGCTTAATTGAAACAAACACAGAAATTAAGCTAAGCGTGTAAAAACAAATTGAAATGATAAAACGAAACTTAATTTTCATGTGAATTTTCAGCGCTGACTCTCCCATTCTAGAAATTTCAATTTTGTTTCAGTCAAAGACCACATTTTAAGGATTGCCATCCATCATATCCAGTCTTTGTAGTCAGCTTGATGAAGCCACAGTTTATTGAAAATGCACTTTCCAGGCATCTCGTTCCTATTGGCATCGGAAGGGTTGTGGTTTTCCAGGTTGGGATTGCTCTAATTTTGGCAAATATTTTCAGAATCCCCCCCTTTTTTTTCTCGAGCACCTTCATCATCACTTTCGCCTCTTAAAGAACTTCCGGCTTCACGCTTTCGTCACAATCTGCCTAAATTTATGGATAACACCTGTTTTGAAAGATTGGGTGAATAGCCAATTAGACACCGATACTTTTATTCGGGTAGCTAATTTTTTTTTTAATCGTTTGCAACGCAAATCCGCCAACAGATTGGTTAAGAGCCGTGTTATTTTAATACCATATTCACGAGAAATCATAATTCACAATTAGAATGGCAATCATTAGAAATGATAAGAAATGTCAAATGAGCAAAATTAAGGACTTTTAAGGACCAAAAATCATTTTTGAAAAAATTAAGGACTTTTAAGGATCGTACGAACCCTGTTTAGACAATCAAATAGAACGTGATTTGAAAGTCAAAGCGGATGAATTTTAAGATACATCCGCTCTTGAATACGAAGAGAGAAAATCCAACTGTGCCAATTTAGAGTGAAGGAAAAATTGAAGAAATCAAATAAACTCGAAAATCTGGACAAGTACATGAACATTCCTAATGAAACCGCTACGCTACAGATTCTAAAAACGAAAGTAATACATTTATTCATCTTCCAAAATTAACTAAATCTAAATTTTTTAGTGATTCAAGCAATTGGCAGGAATTTTGGAGTCAATATAATGTAGCTATCCATAACAAAGACACCTAATCAAAAGTAAATAATTCAATTATTAAAGTCGTTAAGTGGAGTACCCTATAATGTCATTTCCGGACTTTCGCTTACTAATGAGAATTACGATTCAGCTATGGAATTGTTCACTAACAGGTATGGGAGAAAATATTTCATAATAAATGCTCACATGAATAAACTGTTAAATCAATCCCCTGTTAGAATGTAAGGGATATAGAAAATCTCAGGAATATCTATGATTCGTGTGAAACACAAATTAGATGCTTAAAGTCAACAAATGTGGTATCAGAAGCTTATGTTCGTTTACTTTGCCTAATCTTGTTAAAATTAATTCCATCAGAGTTTACATTAGAATACAGCCGCAGTAGAAAAAAATGACCAAATATGGAAAGTTAATGAATTAATGGAATTTATTCGTAAAGAAATCGAAAGCTGTGAAAGAGCTACACAATTAAATGGCAGTAGAGAAACAAAAACAAAACACCCAACAGAAATGATTCATGACTGGAAGCATAAATCAAAAGATCATTCCCACTCCATGCATGATAATGTAGACAACAAGTGCAATAAACAGTTTGATACAAATTTAACTAAAACTTATGAATATACCGCTCCAGTCGCTAGGAATAATTGTGTATAATTAACAAACTAGAGGATTTTGAGCGTTGTGAAATGAAAACTGTGGATGAGAAAAGAAATATTTTAAAAGCAAAGTCATGTTGGCAATTGTACTCAGTAAAAAAGATGTTCAGATTAGTCAATGAAAAACGGAAACTTTCCACAGTACATTGCT